AATGCAGTTGCATCTTCGAGTGGAGGAGGTGGAAATTGCATTGCAGGAGTGTGGATAGAGCGGATAACAATCATTGTTGGAATCTCTCCTATTGCATCTCCCTTTCATGGGACTTTTAGGCCAGCTTGCCTGGCAGTGCCATTCCTGGGGGGATCCTGCCTCTCAAAATGAGTGGGGATGTCCTCTAGCTGCTCCTGACCCTGTGCCGTGCAGCAGGGCTCGTCCTACTTAAGTGGACTTTTTTGGTGGTGACAGGCGATGGGCATGCAAAAACTAGTGGCAGTGGCTGTGGCGGTGGCACTGGTATCTCTTATCCTGAATAATGTGGCTGCCTTCACTCCAAACTGGGTGTACCAAACCATGGAGGAAGGACGTAAGCGTACTGTTGGGCTGTGGAAGATGTGCTTGTCAGGAAGAGGGGTAAGCACCCGGCCCGGACAGTCAGATGAGAGAGTGTGCCAGTCAGTTGGCTGGGGGTCAGAGCCATCTGGCTTGCAGGAATCTCGGAACACAGTCAAGTGTAAGTATAGAATTATAAGTGTTTAAATATTCACCCTACAATTGTTTTATTCATAAATTCCAGCATAAGAAATTGTCTGCTAATCCTTTATAGCCGGGTATTACTTCAAAATAAATGTCACATTAAAATTTTAAAAAATTTACTGTGAATGACTATTGGCATACCTTATGTCATCTTAAAATGATGTCATTTTTTTTTTTATCAACCTGAAATTGACAGGTTGTGGAGTGAAACCACCTCCTTTGCCAACTGTATTACATATTTTGTTCTGTTTTCTTTTACTGTGCCCCCAAGAAAAGAAGTTTCTACTGCGCCCAAGTAGTAGTATTTTAATATTGTGGCATGGAAGAAGAAACAATTACCTGTGTTTATGGAATGCTCTCCTAACTGCTATCAGCACTCTAGAAACATTCTTTAGATACTGTTGTGTCTATAGTTTTCTTTTGACATTAAGCAGTCAATACTTGGACAGAGTGGGCCAGAGACACCATCCGTGTCAAGTTTTTCACCTGCAGTCTGGATCCCCTTGGAGATTTCCCCTTGCTTCATGTTGGGACAGGAGGCAACGGGAAAACTCTCCAGGGGGATACAAACTGCAATAAAGCACTTTATTATTCATTCATATTGGGAAGGGTAAAAACCTCTGAGAGTTAATTATTATTATCTGTATCTTACATAATTAGGTTGAAAAATAAGACAGAAGTCCATCTAGTTCAACCAATACAAAAAATGTATAAATAAATACATTGAAAACCACCAAATACAGAACTGTATACCAACTGTTGATCCAAGGGAAGGCAAAAACACTTAAAGCATGGTGCAATTTATACCAACAGGGGGGAAAAAACCTTCCTGATCCCCTAAGGTATACTGATGTTCCCTGGATCATAAATCTCTACTTTCCTATACCAGTGACGCTTCCCCTCATTTCTTGTGCTGCTGTCACAAAGACTAGCCAGTTACAGATTATAGAAACTTATACAGTTTGCTGATATTATGGAGTGCCATATAGAAAAATTGCAGCTATTTAAAAGCTCATTCCACCTGAAACTGATATTTTAGCTTTCAGTTGATGAGTCAATCCACTCCACTAGTGAAATTTTTTTGCTGGCATTTTCAGCACACCTGCTGCAGAAATAATGAAGTGGTCTTCCTGCTGGGTTACAATCTGTTTTATTTTATGGATTACATACAAAACAAAATGTGTTAAGTGCAAGAGGAAGATGCTGTAAAGCTTTCCAAAGTGACATGAAAGGATGCATCTGTGACATCCATTTGCATGTTACTGCTTACTTCTGCCAGTCAGTTTTCAGCTTGACCAGAGAGCATCATATCTAAAAAGGTTGCTGAAGTTGCTGGGTATGCCCTGTTTAATATAACCTCATATGCTGGGAGTCCATTGTCTGTACATAACTGTAATTACAAATGTACTTGCACTAACAGGAATTTTTATGTCCATAAAGAGCTGCTTAGGAACAACAGGAGAAAGGAAAAAAGGGGAAGTTTACATTAGCAAATGTGCTTGATTTGCTTGCTTGCACTCTAGTTCTACAAGCCTCACTTATTATTTACATGGTAGAATTGGCAGCAGACTAGCAATTATTTCTGTTTACAAGTTTTGGCTGAGTATTAGCTTTTGTATATACCTTGCATTGTGATGTGCTGCTGTGGAAAAAGTGTCATGTGTGTCTTCTGGTGTGTACATTGGCAGCCCATTCATAAAAAAAAAAGGCGCTGCCTTAACATAACACGCGTTAAAACACTACATAACTGTGAAAGGGCTCTTAAAGGAATGTGTGTCACGGCATAAATATGGGAGCTCCCATTAATGACTTGTTCCTTAAGGTGCAAGCTCCAGGAATGAGTCTTTATTCTCTACTTGACTAAGTCAACGGCCTGGAACAAGCATTAGTATATCTAGTGTTGGGATACCTGAAAAGCACATGTTTGTCCAAGCTGGCCATAAACAGCTCCAGCTGAATCAGATAAAATCCGAGCTGTGGGTGGCCCTGATGGAACCACTCAAGTTGACAAAACTCAAACTGAATTGAAGACCTCAGGTGGAAAATTGTGGTGAACAGTGCCTACATCCAATCAGTTGCAGTAACAGTTCAGGTATTTTGACAGCCGCGGGTGCTGTGGCTGCATGAATACAATAGCCGGCATAGCAGATTACTCTTTTCTCCTATTGATTGGGATGAATGAGAGAATTCTGTGTATGGCTAGATTAAAGCGAAATTGAACTTTAAACCAAAACGTTAATATAGAGCAGCTTACCAATGCTTACATGCGGTGGCTGTATTAGTTTTCTTTTTTAGGCTTTTTTTCCCTCTGTTTTCACCCTGTGATCTGGCCAGTAACATACCTCCTGTATTAGAGTGCCCCACTCTGGATGAAGAAGCACAAGAGGCACAGCAGAAAGCAGCATTGCTAATTGTACACCCCTTGAGGGTTAGGGACTGATGTGAATGTACAATATATATGTAAAGTGTTGCATAAATTGACGGCGCTATATAAGTACCTGAAATAATAATAATAATAATCTGGGGGGAGAGAGTGTTAGATGTACTAGCAGATTTAGATGCACTAACAAACGGACGCCAAACTCCAGCTCACACTGCAGCTACAACATTTTTTTCTTTTGAGATAAAGGTTTTATATGAATAAATAAAAGCTGATCATTGTAAGAAGACCTGTCAGTTTTCAATGGCTTGTTTCAACACTCTACCAGCTACAATTGAAAGTTTGTTCTGTTGAAAATTAACAGACTTACTGGTCAGATTGCCAGGTGAAAATAAAAGAATGAAAGCCTAAAAAAGAAAACTAATGTAGCCATCACATATAAGAATTGTTAAGCAGTAATATAACAAATTTTGCTTTTGAGTTTAAAACCGCTTAAAGTATTAAATCAAGGATATGAATCAGCCTGAGAAATTGCACCTTAAATAAGTCTTCAATAGCAGCTCCTATATCACTATCCTGACAAATTCCCAATAAAAGAAACCACACAACACTATTATAAAATTATAATCATGCAGTGCATGGAGAAAAGCGCAGTACTCTACCAATCAGCATTCATCTTTTACTTCAGTTACTTTTGCTTAACTGCTTTCAGTTAAATGAATTCTGAGTGGATACTATTGATTAATGTACTTTCTCTAGCATTATTCACTGAATAAGCACAAGTAAGCCTTATGTAAAATAAACTGAAGCACTGACAGTTTTTGTTGCATTCAGGAACTTTCCCTTTCCCTGTCATTTTCCTGTACTGAATTGAAATGATGAAAAAAACAATCTATAGCTGTCACAGATTTCCACCGACATTCCTGGGCTGGGCATTTAGTATGCCATGTGAATGAGAGTACTGACAGTAACAAGCTAATACACAAAAACATAACTAACAATTGTCCCTAGAAATCATTTAGAGCATCACTTGCTATAAGATGACCAGTGGGCTTGCTCAGGAGCGAAGTCAGAGTGCAAACTGGAGTATCGCAAAAGAAACCAATCAAAATGAACTTTACTGAATACAGACTGGTGTAACATAGCTTCTGATTGGCTACTATGGGCACTATCATTTATATTTTGCTCCATGCATTATTTCATTGAATGAGTCAAAAGGTATTGGTATGGGCAGCAACCATAGCCCTCCAGATGAAGTCCAACCAGCTGCATTTAAAGAGTAACTGAGCAGCCTTGCTTTGTCACTCTTGGTTTGCGGTTTTGCCCCCCATCCGCATATCCGTGGCACTCGTGAAAGACAACTCCAGTTTTTGACTTTTCATTCCCCTTTTGTGGGTTGTCAAAAAACTGGAATTTTTGGGCAACCTGCTAGAGACATTAAACTCCTGATGAAGTGAACTGTGTTTTATGAAACACATTAGGACCATGATGTGCTCCAATGGTTGAACTGAATTTATTGATAAAACAATATTGTGTACCTCTTGAAAAATTATTATCTCTGTACCATGAGTGACTAACCAAACATGTATATTTACGTCTTCCCCATATATATATAATTACTGTGTCGTCACCTCCTAAAAAGTCTCAGGAGCAATTATTTTTGTACTTTGCATGCCTGCTTGTTGTGTGTTAAAATGGCAACTTTAAAAGGGAACATCGCCCCAAAGGGGAAGTTAAGCTTTATGCCCCCCCCCCTTTCTCTACCAGAATTGGCATATTTAATTTGTTTTGGGGACCGGATACCTTGCTTTCACAGGTACCGCTCCCATTTCAGCCCGGATCACCTAGGTAAACCGAGGAGGAATTTGCAACCCCCCTTTGCCCGCAGCCTTCTGGGGCACGTCCCTGGAGGCTGCAGGGACCATTCACATAGTGCAAAGCGGCTTGAGCATGCGCAGTGTGCAGCTGCAAGGAGTCACAGCCAGATTCCCACAGCAAACATGCTGGCGCCAGGGACCCAAAGACCGTTGAAGAACTGACCTGGATGAGGACAGCACTGAATCCCTGGACAGGTACAGTGGGGGAAATAATTATTTTATCCCCTGCAGATTTTGTAAGTTTGCCCACTTACAAATAAAATTAGGGGTCTATAATTTTTATCATAGGTGTAATTTAAATGATAAATACAGAATATTAACCAAAAATCCAGTAAAAACACATGATACAAATGTTATAAATTGAGTTGCAGTTCATTGAGTAAAATAAATATTTGATCCCCAAGCAAAACATGACTTAGTACTTGGTGGAGAAATCCTTGTAAGTAGGCACAGAGGTAAGACGTTTCTTGTAGTTGGTTGCCAGGTCTGCACACATCTTAGTAGGGATTTTGGTCCACTCTTCTTTTCAGATCTTAGATCCTTAGGGTTTCTTGGCTGTTGCTTGGCAACTCAAAGTTTCAGCTCCCTCCATAAATTTTCTTTAGGATCAAGGTCTGGAGACTGGCTAGGCCACTCCATGACCTTAATGTGCTTGTTTTTGAGCCACTCCTTTGTTGCCTTGGCGGTGTGTTGTGGGTCATTCTCATACTGGAAGTCCCA